CTAATATGAATTAATAATACATATAGTTTTCTGCTCATATGTCACTAGTTTCACTTTAGACAAGCTATTTTGTGGGAAAATTTGACAATAATGCCAACATAATTGCAATTTTCTGGCTTTCACAAGTTTCTGTCTTAGAAAAGATCCATCTGTCACAGATTTTGCTATGTATAAAAACATTATTTTATTCTAAATTTGTTACTACAAAAATCAGGCAGTTTATAATAATTTATTTTATAATCATAAAAACAATGCACTTATAGCAATTTTGCTACATATTAAATTATAGATATTATCATTACGTAGTTGAATATGACCATTCATTTATAGATATAAACAGAAGAATATACAGTGGGTGATAAGTTAACGAACATAATCTGTTCCAAGACTTTGTTCACTATCCAAATTGTTCGTTAACCGATTATCAATTTACCATAGGTTTGTATGGGAATTTGATTAATTCGTTCTGGAGATCCCAAAAAATAAAAAATATATACTTTCTTACTACGTTCATTTATATGTAAAAATAAAAATACATATATACGCAGTCTTGCATTTTTATTAGTTATGTTTTTTGTGTGTGGGGGTTAAAGAATCTGTGTAATGTCGATTGCTTCTCTCTCTTCTTCAAGATTTTCAGAAGTAATTACAGTAATAGCATTGTAATTGTAGAGATCCCCAAGCCTATTAATCTCAACCTGGTTTGTATGCCATTCTAAGACAATTGATCTGACATCCCCCACTTCTTCAAAAGATCTTTAATTAATAGCAGATATCGGCATTAATCCTCTTTTTCAGAAGAAAACATATCTTGCCGAGTTTCTTGGTGTTCTTCATTCAAGAGTTCTCGGCGTTCTTCTGTCGTCAGATCCGTTTCAGGTTCTATTATGAGCTCTAAAAAGAGCTCATAATAAAAGAGCTCATTAATGTTCTTTATTTCTCAGAAGTGATTTTTGTTACTCCTTTAGCTGCTTGAGTCTTCTTGATTATACTGTATCTTTCTTAGATAAGATTGAACTGCACCCTACTGTAGATTTGTTCAAGCCATACTGCCCAGCAACATCAGACATCTCGCAAATACTATAAAAGAATTGTTGAAACTCTCCCTTGTAATTCCAGCCTTTTAAAATAAAAGGCTGGAATTACAAGGGAGAGTTTCAAAGTTCAGAGGAATACTATCTGATCAGTATATTCTGGGTTGAGCGTCGATGTCAACGTCTCCAATGCTCTGAAAAGTTTCGAATTGTTGCCTGAAGACAAGGGAAAATCAATCTGTATTTGCTATTTTCGTCGCTTCTTTTTTTATGTTTGTTCAGTGAAATGTTCATTAACCGAACATGTGTTTGTTGTCCGATCATAAAAATCTTTCGTGCAAGTATTCGTTATCTGATTTGTTCATTAACCGATCTGTTTGTTAACCAATCACCCACTGTATTTAATTGTGTAATAGTAACAATGAATTAAAAATTAATCCTTATTTTGAAACAAATCATTATTGAAATTGGATATACTTTAGTTAATTTGATTTATAACCAACAGCAGAATGATGTATTTTCTTCAATTTAGTTTCAGTTATTCTTTGTTATACTCCATTTTATAAAATACTAGCTTACCCATCGCGCATTGCTGCGATCTCAGAAGAAACGAAATTCAAGCAAACTCGTTATGATAAAATTCAATTTACATTTTATCATTTTTATTGAAACTTATTATTATTATATTATTATTATAATTATTCATTTTCATCGGGAAAACATTTCAAAGTGTTGTTTCAATTCTATTTATTTATTGGAGTGCTTGTGGATACACGATATTTTTTGTTTTTCCGTTTGGTGCATACACGAATAAATCAGGTTTTCCAACGCGTGAGCTGGCCACATACAGTTGTACATCTGAGAAGCACGGATTCTTTAAATTTAGCCCAAATACTCGCAGAGATTGTCAGAAGTGCAATATTCCCCACTTTTATATATTTTTTTAATCCTTTATAATTTTGATTATTTAATTGCTCCTTCCTCTCTTCCTTGGCGTGTTGTGAAATTTCTGATAGTTGTATAATAAACCGTTTTATTGTAATTTGTCTTTTTAAATTATTTTGAGTTGATATTAAAATTTGGAAAAGGGGATCCCTAGATCGATAAAATAGGCGAATTTCCTTCTACAACTTTGGTTGTTGTTCGGGATACAGTTAAGGTTTTAACAAAGTTCGAG